CTCTGGTGAGGGGTCTGGAGACCAAGTCTTATGAGGAAAGGTTGAAGGAGCTGTGTATGTTTAGTCTGGACAGGAGACAACTGAGAGGTGATATGATAACCATCTTCAAGTACTTGAAGGGCTGTCATCTAGAGGATGGTGTGGAGTTGTTTTCTGTTGCCCCAGAATGTTGGACCAGAACCAACGGGTTGAAATTAAATCAAAAGAGTTTTTGGCTAAGGATTATGAAGAACTTCCTGACAATTAGAGAAGTTCCTCAGTGGAACAGGCTTCCTCAGGAAGTGGTGGGCTCTCCTTCTTTGGAGGTTTTCAAACGGTGGCTATATGGACATCTGACAGCAATGTGGATTCTGTGAACTTAGGCAGATCATGAGAGGGGGAGCAGGAAGGATTGCCTCAGTGCTTAGTTCTTGTGGCCCTTTTTTACACGCCCAGGAAAATGCTGATTGCCACGTTGGTATCAGGAAGCAATCCTGGAGGGTTTTTTTGTCATCTTCTGGGCGTGGAACAGCGGTCACTGTGGGTGTGGAGGGGGAGGTATTTGTGAATTTCCTGTATTGTGCAGGGGGTTGGATTAGATGACCCTGGAGGTCCTTTCCAACTTTATGATTCTGTGATTCATCACCACCACATCCAAGTTGGACTGCAGAGGAGAGTGAATGGGGTGGTAAAAATGGTTTGTGCTTCTCCTACCTATCACTTGTGCTAGATGAGTCCAAGGTTGAAAGTCAGCTGGAGTGGTATGGGCACTGGACTTGAAGATGACCTTGGGCAAGCCATAGTTCTGATAAGAGCTGTTCTTGAAAAAGAGCAGTTTCTGTCAGAGCCGTCTCAGCCCCACCTACCTCACAGGGTGTCTGTTGTGGGGAGGGGAAGGGAAAGGAGTTTGTAAGCCGCTCTGAAACTCCTTTGGGTAGTAAAGGGCAAGGTATAAATCCAATCTCCTCCTCCTCCTCCTCCTCCTCTTCTTCTTCTTCGTCTTCTTCTTCTTCTTCCACACCAGAAAACTTACCTCACAGCAGCGAACCCATTTATATATACTTGTTACCTTAAGAACACCCAGTAACTGAGGGAAAGGTTTGTAGTTTAAAACAAACCTGGTTCTCCAAAATTATAAGAGGCAATGTGAGTCCCGTCAGCTGGTAGAACAGGCCTTTCTCAACCTGAAACCACATGTGTCTATATGGGGTAGGAACTACATGTTGCAAGGTATAAGGGGATTTCTCAGCATGTGTTTCGTTGTAATGCTGATAAAGGAGCCAAAAAGGCATTCATAGAGAATGAGCAGATGATGAAGATGAGGAGGAAGGAGGAGGAGGAGGAGGAGATTGGATTTATACCATGCCATATTTACTGTGCATCTGTGCTTGTTTGCTCATTATCAGTTCAGCTGATGGAAGGTCATACAGTTGACTAAGATGAAATGTGAGCCTACGCATGCAAAGTAGTGTTATGAGTCCTGATGATCTGGCCCAGGAATAGGCAAATCAAGAATTCACAAGTGGAGGAGTACTGCCTTTATTAAAAGTTATATTTAGTAAAAGGCTTATTCATTCCCTGCTGTGTCTACAAGGTTTCTGCTTGGCTGACCATGCGAACAAGTCCTGAAATCCTCATATGAATGGAACTTATTTTAGGAACACAGATTAAAGGACTTTAACTGTTTAGTTTAGGAGATCAAGAGGTTGTTAAGTGTTACAAAACAAAAGAGACTTTTTAAGATTACTGTCAGATGCATGTGCAGGGTAGTAAGAATTACTAATTGGATATCGTATGATTTCTTGCCTAATGCCTAAGGACATCCTTCCTATTAGTGCTTGCATGCACATCCTCTCCAAGTCCCCCAGGGCATCAGGAACTTCTTGATTCAGTGAAAGTGCACCTAATTAAGACCTTTTGGTATAGCTGGGCTTTCAGGCCTGGCTATAGGGTACCTGATAACTGAGTATTACTGTAGTTGTTTTAATTGATGTATTTTAAATAATTAGTTTTTGAATAATTACCAAAAAATAGACTTGAGTGTATAAATAAATGAGGTTCTCATTAAGGTATCATAATGAACCAGTTTGTTTCACATGCAGTATCTGATTCAGCAGGTTTTTTTTATGCTTTTTACTCCAAGTTAGAGAGGGCCGTGATGGAGAGGTGGGCCATGGCAAACCACTTCTGAATGTCTCTTGCCTTAAAAACCTCACGGGGTCTCCATAAGTCGGCTGTGATTTGACAGCACTTTCCACCACCACTACAGAGCCTCTTTAGATGTCATGTATCATATTCGGTACTCCACTGTTTCTGCTAGTATGCAAAGTATGGAAGGGATGTAAATATTTCCAAACATGGCACACAACACATGGCAGGACCTGTGGGCAGTCATTGATGTTTGTCTCTAGTAGCATATATGTTTCCTTCACACTTTGTATCTTTACTGCAGGAAACACATGTAAAGGCTATTAGAGATAAACTAGACCATGAAGATAGTTTCAGAGGGTCGCTGTGTTGGTAGTAGAATATCTAGATCAAAGTCCAGTAGCACCTTAGGCCCAACAAGATTTTTGGGGTACAAGCTTTTGAAACTCAGAGCTCCCTTTGTCAGAAGAGAACTTTGACTTTCAGAAGCTCATACCCCGAAAATCTTGTTGATCTCCAAGGTGCTCCTGGACTCAAATCTAGGATCCCCCATGTTTCTGCAAATGGAGTGAAACTTCCACGTTTGGAGAAAAACCTTAAACTTAAAAAAAGGAGGAGCTAAACATACAATAATTTAAAACAGTGGTGATCTTGCAAAACTAGGTGATCCAAAGTAGCTGCCCACATCTCATGAGGTAATCGTGTGAGATTTTGGTAGTCATTTACTTTATTATGAAATTGAAAGGTCATCGGGGGGGGGGGAGAAATAGTCATGGAGTGGGGAAGGCAGAGCCAGTGAGAAAGGAAATGGGACAAAGGGTGGGAAATGGGAACTAGGAGTGGAAGAAATTTCTGCTCCTCCACTACTCTTATGGTCTCCCTCGTATATCATTCTGTTCTACAAGAAGTGCTCTAATCATACATTTGCAGGCTGGTAATAGCCCTGACCTGAATAATTAGGGTTGCCAGCCTCCAGGTGGGGCCTGGAGACCACCTGCTTTTACAACTGATCCCCAGCTGACAGAGATCAGTTCCCCTGGGAAAAAATGGCTGCTTTTAATGGTGGACTCTATGGCATTGTACCGTGCTGAGGCCCCTCCCCAAACCCTGCCCTCTCCCAGATCCACCCCCAAAGTCTCCAGGTATTTTCCAACCCAGACATGGCAACCCTATGAATACCCCCCATTTATCTTGAGCTCTTTGGAATATTTCATGAATATCTCTCTCTCTCTCTCTCTCTCTCTCTCTCTCTCTCTCTCTCTCTCTCTCTCTCCATGACTGTGAAGAGTTCTGCAATCTTTGTTAAGAAACTAATATGGAGATCAAATATTTTAAAGACATTTTCCAGAACAGTAGAAGCAAAATGTATACTTCAAGTAGTTACAACCTGGGTAAATCTGGGATGTCATTTATTGATAACTGATGCATGTTACATCTATTTTATCACAGTATTCTAGATCAAGGGCAAAGTGACTGGTATTATTAATAAAAAGCCCTGATATCACATGCACATAGCAATACTAATTTTATGGCTGTAAAGTTTTAAAGTAATGCATAGAGCAATAAAAGTGTCATGAAGATTAATGTTCAGTGGAATTATCTAATTCCACATAATAAATTGTCTTCCAGAGATGTATCTAAAATAGAATAAGCCTGGCATATTCCAGGTGAGAAATTAAGCCACCTCTTTTCATCTTTGTCTTCTTTTTTGAAATGTAGGTACGACATCAAAGATGACTACACCTTGCGTATTAAAAAGGCTATGAGCACAGATGAAGGGACATATACATGCATCGCTGAGAACAGAGTTGGAAAAGTTGAAGCTTCTGCTACTCTTACAGTCAGAGGTGAGTGTTAAAGTATTTGAGTGAGCTTACAGTTAACAGATCTTATTCCTATTTTCGGGGGGGGGGTGATTTTGTAGTGAAAAAATCTGTTCAAATAATCAGAAATGTTGAGTTTTTAAATTGTATTAAAACCAGCTTTTTGAATAGAGTTTTCTTTAAAAACCAGGTTTATTATACCAACATTAGTTGACTGAAAAAGTGCCTGGTAAAGATAGACAACTTGTATGTTTCTGTGCAACCTAAAATATAAGGCTGAAGTACTGAAATCACTCTTCCCATATAACAAACATTGATGTTGGGACCCAGAAGTATCTCTTTAAGGCTTTGAACCAAGGATTCTCTAATGTATCAGAGATCCTTTAATAGCAGATGCTAAGGTTTGAACATGGGACCATGTACATGCAAAGCCTGTGCTCTTCCAATGAGTGATGGTATAGAAATCCCATGCCTGTAAAATTTAATATTGGTGTAATTATTCTAAAACCAATATTCATTTATCAAGTTTAGCTCTAGAATGTAGACGAGAGATAGTGATTGTAGGAATTTAATTGCAGATTCTACCTATATCATTTGAAAATAGTAGAATGGAGGAAGGAGGAAATTCTTTTATTTTAAGGGGAAGAGTTCTGATGGTAGAAGGGGAGTCAGTAATATATCTTTTCCATGATAGTGACAGAGAGAGGGCAGTTGGTATCAGAGTGGGTTAAAGACAGGCGTAAGAGAAAACAAATGATGAAGGACAATTGGGTATTTGGTGACCATATGTTGATCATATATGCTAATCATATATCTTCCTGGTGTTCAAAGATTATTTTGATTTAAATAAATATTTCCTTTAAAATCTTGGTTCACCAGTTTCTTTTTAGAGCAAAAGTCCTTCTGTTTTTGAAAACCAGACATTACATTCTTTAAATATTCTAGCTCTTTAAATATTCTAACGTATGAATCCAGTTGGAGCTGTTATTATTTCCCTACAGAAGAAATTAATATTGTGAAAGGCCAGGAGTCTGAACCCATAATGCATATAGAGGCCCTCGTCTACTTAATGTGACTGAAAATATCAGCCATACAATGGCAAAAGAATGATTGTGACACCATGATGAAAATATTTATAGGATGCCTCATATATGTACATATAGATCAGGGGTCCCCAACCTTTTTGAGCCTGCGGGCATCTTTAGAATTCTGACATAGCATGTTGGGCACAGACATAAAATGGCTGCCGCAGCAAAGCCAACCACAAAATGGCTGCTGCAGTTTACCTTCAGTCATACAATGAAAATCCTTGTACTGTGATGGTAGCTCTTGCCAGAGCAACATTTTAAAAATCTCACAGCCAGAAAGCTCACTGAGGAAAAGCCCTAACTGGCCCTGCCCAGTTTCTAAAAACACTTGGTGGGCCCCAGAAAAGGTGTCATGGGCACTACATTGGGGAGCACTGGTATAGATATATGTATAAATGTATAATACGTATAACACACATGCCGGTGGATTCATTGGATTTACACTGGAGTCGAAAAGGCAGTATTTCGTAATTTAGCAGTGCAGGCTGAAGACTCAGTAGAGATATGAAAAGTTAATGAAAAAAATTTACCTTAATCATTGCTTTTTCTCTACCATACACGTTAAATCAGATGATCAAAGACTCTATGGATTAGCTGTTGTAGATTTTCCTATGGATTGTTTTATTAGAGCGAGGGTCAACTGATTCAAGATGCTGACTTTCGTTTCCATCCATTTAATGCATGGACACAGTTCAGTTTGATTTTCTGAATTTGGAGGGGGAGGTAGAAACGAACCTAGTTGCATAAGGAGGGGAGAGCTTTCCAATGATAACAAAAGAAAGAGCTATTTTCTAGTAATCCAGCTACTGAAATATTGTTGTGATACTGCAGAGATTATATAATATAAATTCCCAAGGAATGTCTTGTTACTTGTTTTTGATGAGACTAGATTTCTGTTTTGTGAGAAAAGCAATACTACATTGTCCCTTATTTTTAAAAATAGTATTATTTTTCTTTAAAAAATAGAAATATTAGACTGCACACTTCAGGTTCCTTCATAACATTATCTATTGTACAGATTGTACAGACAATAAAAAATTACTTCCACTAAAGCTTAGCATGCTGATATGAGTAGTGACTAGAACAAAGGGGGCAGGGAGGGATCTGTTGAACTCACTGGAGCTTGAACTTGAGCAAATTAGGGTGGAAAAGGAAAGTATATAATTTAATTGATTTTCCTACATGAAAGAAGACTTCTCATTATCTTTCCCCCTTAGCTTTCTAATTTAACTAGCCATAGGCATAGTATTTATTCAATACAAAAAAGTCTCTATATTAAATATATATGTAAAACATCTGAGATATGAAAGAAAATTAGAAAAACCTGGAAATATAAAATTTAAAGTCAAAGGTCACAAGGGGAAGTTATATAGACTTTATTTTTAAGATTCAAACAAAAGTCATGCCCTTTATTAAAATGACAGTCATGACAACAGTTATATACACAAATCTAATTTTTTGCCTTTTTACTTGAGAAGAGAGTCTCTTGTAAGTAAATATACATAGGTTTGCAGTCTTATGTTAGTTGCTTTCAGTGGGTCAAAGCATTTTATGTTAAAGTAGTACTGTCACTGAACTGTAGTATAGGCCTCAGTTCCTCACAGTGATTGAAGTTTTAAAAATCTAGAACTTTCCCCTAAACTTTCTACAAAGCCATCAAACGCTCCCTGCCTTAGCTAATAATCTGTAAAATTGCAGTTTTGTTGGAGTTAATTATTATAGGAAAGTGTCTATCAGCATAAGAGACATTGCTTCTAGTTGCTGCCATCAGGTTGGATATCCTTTGCCTGTAAGCAAGCAGTGGTTCAGACATAGTGTAAAACCATGGTTAAATTAAATTAAACCTGTAGTTAACAGTAGGAGCTCATATCACTCCAATAACTATGGTTAATTCAGATAGCTCAGACCAAGGTCTCAAACCAGAATATGCAGACTGTTTATTAATCTCAGTTAGTGTGGACTATGGTTTCATATTATGCATGAATGTGGTACCTTGGCTTAATCCTGGTTTGTTTTCCTCTTGACACTCCACATCCACCCTGTTCCACGCTCACTTCCACTCTCTTAAATACTCAGCAATGTGGCAAACTCCTTACATGCATCCCTAACGGAAAACATAGAAAAGGATCCCTGGCTTTCTTAACTCCTAAACTTCATACACAACTCCATTCCCTAACAAAGCATTGGGGAGTGAAGGATAAACCTGGGTATTCACACACTGATTATTTAAAAAATCTTTCTTCAGGCATTGGAACCCCCTCACCTCAAAACAAATTTACCATGGAGTCAAAACCTGAGAAAAGTAATGTGTTTAAGTAATTTATTGTAGCCTAAGGAGATGTACAATGATAGCATTTCCTCTCTTGTTCCACTAAGGTCAATAGGAAATTAAGGCCATAACAGTTTTTCAATACTGCTAGACTCCTGGCCAAGTTACTCTTAACAACACTCTCTGTGGCAGTGCTATGTTTATTGAGATATATGCAAGATACAGAGTAGAACAGTACTGTGTTAGAACTGGCGATTTTGGCGTGCATCTGGCCAGATATAGCTAATTCAAACATAGCCCCTTTTCCCTGTCCCCCAATCGCACCTCACAGTCATCTAGCCCTGCTGTTGCCATCCTGATTGGAAAATATATGGTTCTGTTATCTACAAGCAAAAGCTGGCACCGAAAGTCTCAAGGACATTCCTCTGGAAAAGTTCCTGCTTCTACAAGCAAAAGATTCCCACTCACACAGCAGTCACTCCCCTCTCCTCAGGAATGTCCCTCCCCCCAGAAAACATGGCAAACTGAGCAAAGCAAAGCAAGGTTTGACACCATAATTCTCAATCTGTTTTAAAATATAATTGTTCGTGTGTCATGTTCACTGTACTGCCTGTGCCATAAAGGCTGCAATCCTGTGCATATTTATTTTGGAGTAAGTCCATAGATCTTCCTTGCAGACATGAACAGAATCAGTCTGTGTGTTCATTTAGAGACCTCTTGGCGATAGGAATATATGACCAGCTGAGGTTTTTTCAATTATGATTTTATGTCATTTAGCAAACCAAGTTAAGCCAGCCAGAACTTCATCTTTACCTTTCCTGCCATTGACCACGTGAGTTCACTTTTTGATATGAACTGAAGAAGGAATATTCAGCTGAATTTATTTGGGTAATTTCAAATTGAAAAAATAGCATTCATTAATACCATAAGCCGTATTATCCTAGATATGTGATATTAAAATGGGCAACATCAGTATCTGCTTTATTTATAAGATAATGTTTCTGAAATATCAGGATCTGTGTTCAAATAGATAAAGGATACTTTAGAATCGTGGTTCTTTTAGAATTATCTTGGGTTTTAAAAAAAATATTTATTAGGTTTTTATGCTTAATAACATACATACATATAAGACAACAACAAACATAGATCCACCCCACAACTAATTTCTCAACACAACAATTTGCTGGTACCTAAATGAATTATAGATTCACTCTAATCTCATACACAAAATTTACATTGCATCACCCAGAGTTGTTCTAATAAAGATAGTTATCAACTGACATATCTACTTTCTGCTAAAGCTCCACATAACAAAAATAAGTTATCTATTAAATCATCCCCTCCATATTTACTATTTAAATCAATTATAATCATTCTTTCTAATTTTGAAAAAAAACCCAAACATGATGTATTCAGCATAGACAGTCACCTACCAAATCCTACATTTTACTTTAATAATTCTTGTTAACTACCTCTCTAGTCTCTAACATAAGTACCATAACTTATATAATAAGGTAACCAACATGCTAATCTTAATTAGATCATCATAATGCACCCAATGTTATCACATAAAATTATATTCTTACAAAAACCTACCTAAAACCACTCTGCATTACATCCCCACTAATTTCATTCACCTGCAAAATTAATTCATAATTAATTCATGATTACTTGGATGGAATCCCATAATGAAGATCAATCTACAAAGTTTTTTTTAATTTTAAAATGATCTTTAACTGCTGTTTATATGGCATCAGTTTTTTGTTTCAAAAAAGGTACTTCAGTAGCAGAAAAGCCACCTCTAGAGCTTAGAATAAGAAGCAGGGTTAATGTTTAAATTATAATAATAAATAACAATAGTAGGCACTTCTTTTGTAGTGTGTAGAAGTAGGTGCTATAATCAAAACTTGTAACTATGTTGATTATACTAAAAAGGATAGCGCACTAGTCAGGCAATTAATTACAGTAAGTAGAATTCATATTGTCTGAAAACTAGGTAATAGATTTGTTACAATACATGGTGTTGGGGAAAGGAAGGAAATACTGGTCTCCAAATCTGACAAAATTAAATTGTAATGTTGCAGTAGTTCTGTTTCCGAATTCTACTACTAAAATTTGGCCTGCTTCATTTCTTCCATCCTTCTGTAAATTTACTGTTTACCCTTGAGTTCTTCCATAACAAATGTTGAGTCAAAACAGGGATGACAGCCCTCATCCCCCAACTCAACAATTCTAACATAATGAAAGACTGCTGCCAGAATGAAATCACTTGTTGCAGCAACTGCCTTCGATCTCAGTATCAGTCTGAGGTAGAAATAACCTGTCGATCATTGCACATTTTTAAGAGAAATTCAAGTTATCTAAGCAACACTTTGGGAGATTCTGGTTGTAAATCCTTATGGTCATTGGATGTTCCTTGTTATATTTTCATCAGCACTGTCAGAGATGAGGAACAAATGTGCTATGAGCTGTTGTGTCCATAACTGGTTAAGGAAAAATGGTGCCTTGGGCATTTCTCTAACCTGAACTGCAATCGGGCTGGTCCTGGTAAAACTCAGTTGGTATTTAAATCAGACAGCAATGTATCGGTTTTATTGGATTCACATTTGCCAGTCTGTAGCGCTAGATGATGTATTCATCAAGGTTTAGAAGTTTGTCCTAATGTGAAGCTACTTACTTCAATCAAGCATTAGCAATGACATTTGCTGATGGGACATGAATCTCTCAAAAATGTTCAGCTGACTGGTTCTGGACAGCTTTTTCAAATGCTATACAGGTCCTTGCCTTCAACAACTGCAATTCCAATAACTCCATCTTAAATAATGGAAATGAGCATCTACTTCAAACTGACATGTTAATGTAGTATTCTACTGAGTATATCCACAGTTACGCATAACATTACACATCAAGCCTTCTGACAATTTCTTTTTTTCCCTTTTAATTTCTTCATGTTCTCACCACACCATTGTAATGTCTTCAGCTCGCCCTGTTGGTAAGTAACCATCATTCTCTCCATTTTAGCATGTCTTCATCCAGTTCATCTTTCATTTTGAAACCCCTTAACACTGCTTTTCAGTAACTGTTGACTACTGGTGATCATCAGTGCTGGTTTGTTGCGAGCTTTCTATAAGCAAGCAACATGTCAGAAAACAAAGTTACTTTGTAAGTGTGTTGACTGTTTGAAGCCATTTTGATAAATGAGGCTGAACTTCAACAGTTGGCATATATTTCAAATTATGGGTTAATGCACCACAATTATGCTTATTTTCCAGTTTGTTATTGAAAAGAACAGCCATTGACATCAGTAGACTTTGAATATCATATCCTGAATATTATTTTTTATTATATAAAAGTTATGAAAGTTTGAGAGAGGCAGAGCAAGAAATTTTGTTATCACTACAAAAATTCTAGTCTGGATTTAGGAGCCAATAATAATTAAGGACCCCAGTCAATGTTGTCTTTATTTTATGATGTGGTCTGAAAATTTGTGAGAGGTCCTTGGTTTACTTCCAGTGCTTAGCATGTGATGTTTGGTATAGTATCAATGGAAGAGCAACTTCTGGATGAGCATATGGAATTTTTAACCTTATGGCACTGTTTACTAATGGAGTTGAATCTCAGGGACAGCAAAAGATTTTGAAATTAATATCTTTATGTTAAGGATTTCAAGGGAATAAGTAAAAAACATTTTAATAATATGATTTTCCCCCATATAATATTCCTGCGGCTTTCTGTAGTACTAAGGATCATGATAGTGATAGTCTCATACTTAAGCTTTTATCTGTATTTGTAGCATCCATTTTATAGACAAGCATGAAAATGTAAGCTTGAATTATTTCTGTCTCTTTCTGTCTTTGGTCAGAGCAAGGCATTTATAGCATATGGTACGGACTGTGCATATGCAAGGGCAAGCTCAGTTCTGCCTGAGGTGGATGGCAGCTGGTGAATATAACAGCTCTGTACCAGATTCCCATTAGCAAATCAAAACATTATGAGTAATAACTGTATTGCTCATCTCTAGAATAGCTGTTCTTTTTATTGTAAGCTTTGGAAAAGATTTCCTACAGCAGTTAACAGCAGATGGGTTTTGGAAGCAGGGTATTTATTCCCATTTAGACCATTTACTCCTGTTATTGCACACATCAGATGTGTTTTCGAGATGAACAGGTTAATATTTTCACCAAAATTATTTTTGCTTTGTTTCACTGATGTAATGCATTTGTTCTAAACACAAGTGCTGGTTTAGTAGATGAAAATTAATTTCACTCATAATTGTATTATTTGGAGGCTATGAAATGCTTCTTATATGCAATAAAATATTTAATGAATTAGTCTTCCAAGAGTGTTCATATCCAGTTGCTCTGTCAGGTGTTCAAAGTATAAACGAGTGGAGAACACTTTCCAAATACAGTCAGCTATATCTATATATTTATTTCTCAAGTGTGGGCAGATCTGCAGATACTTAAATCCATGGATTGGGCCCATGCTGAGACAAAGGAGATTTTTGTTGTTTGCAGAAAAAAAAATCTGAAATCAGTTTAAAAATTACATGGGTTTAATTCTCCCAAGAACAAAAGTTTGCCTGTGTATGTCTCTGTCAGAGTCTCAGTAGTGGGAGGAGGGAAGTCATGGCAATTGAAGCCATACTATATAGGAAAATTCAACTTAATAGCCACCAAAAGCTAGTCCCAACTCCCACAAAATTACAGCACTGCTGAAAATGATCTGTTCCAGACTTCGGCAACGCTCCCCAAAAAGAGATTTCAAGGACCCACTAAGAATGCTTCTATACATGCCCTTCACGTGCAGATAATGGTATATTTTTTTTAAAAAAATGTGGGAAAATGGAGGAAAGGAGAATAATGTAAGTTGATTTTGGTCCCCATTGGGAAGAAAGGCTTTCAAGAATCAAGTTCTCTAAACTAAAATTCAGTAGCCAGAATTTATACTGGAATACACACCACTGACATAATTAATTACTCTCTCCCCACACTGACATTGCCACATTACCTTTGTTTGATTTAATGATGACTCCCTGACCTGAATAACTTTTGACCTATCATGCCAGGCTCTGGCTACCAGTCCTGTTTGGTGTAGTGGTTAAGTGCGCGGACTCTAATCTGGGACCCAGCAATCTTAATTCCGGCTTGTGATTCATCCAGGCCAGCATTTCGCATGATGTACTCTGCATATATATTAAATAAGCAAGGTGACAATATACATCCTTGTCGTACTCCTTTTCCTATGCTGAACCAATCAGTTGTTCCATATCCGGTTCTAACTGTCGCTTCTTGGCCCTTATACAGGTTTCTCAAGAGATATGTGAGGTGGTCTGGTACTCCCATCTCTTTAAGGCCCTGCCATAGTTTGTTGTCAGCTAGAGGATGACAAATTATGCAGGCCTGGTTAATAATTAATTATTAATAATTAACAATTCAGTTTTTATTTACAATATTTACATTCTGCATTTTGATCTGAATTTGTCTGGAGAATAAGGTATATTCCTGCAGGTTTAAGAGTATTTGAGAAGAATTTGCTATCTATAAAAGTAACTTTTAATGTATTTATTAAAGCATTGATACCTTGGTTTTCAGCACAAATGCCCCCAGAGTGTCTTAGAGATAAAAAGAATACACTAAAATTATTTGCTAAACCGTAATTACAATAAAATCAGAACAATAAAATGCTTAGTAGAATGATCAGCATTAAAATCAGGACAAGATGTCATGCCGTCACGGTCAGCGTAACACACAATTTCAGTAGGTTAATCTTCAGTTAGTCAGAAAGTTAGGTTGCATAGATAAGGTTTTGTCATCCTACTGTGAGATTAAATTGTTTATAATCCCCCTTTCTCACTGAGACTGACGGCAGATTACACAGTGTAAGTCAGTAAAAAAAAACAGGATGGGACATCCAAAAGCAATGCAATAGGGTTTGGATTGCAGAAATCTAAAAACAAGCAGAAAACTGAAACAGAGCTGAAGAGGAAGCATAAGCATTTAAACGTGACATGTTAAACAATGCAGAAATTACATAGTAGGAGCATATTTAACAGCAACCGACAGTACAAACTATATACAGAACTACAGTCCAAGTCCCTGTCCCTTTGCCTCACCTCATCACCATGGTCCATACGCAGGCGATTTGGATAGAGAGATATAGAGCTGGTGTCATCAGCCTACTGGTGACATTTAATTCCAAAGCTACAAATGATTTCTCCTAAAGGTTTTACAAAGAGGTTGAAAACATCGGGGAGAAGATTGCACCCTGTGGCAACACACAACTCCCACTCTGAAGACTGCTGGTTTCTGAAGACAACCCTTTGAGTACAATCCTTGAGGAATGATATAAACCAGTCCAAAGAATATCCTCTGATACCTACTTCCACCTCCAGATGCCTCAATAAGGATGGCATAAACTACTCTAACAAAGGCAGATAGATACAGAAAGAGCAACAAAGAATCGTGTCGATTCAGAATGAAGTCATCAGCAACATCCATCAGAGCCATCTCTGTCCCATAGCCCAGCCTGAAACCAGTCTGAAAAGGATTCAGAAGTTATCCAAAAACACCTGGAGTTGGTCTGCTACTGCTGACTGGATTATTTAACCTCAAAAGGACAGACTAGAGTAGAGGTGTCAAACATGTGGCCTGCAGGCCAGAACCAGCCTGTCCAGGGCTCTTATCTGGCCCACAAGCAACTGGTGCGAGGGAGGGAAGGCAGGAGGCTGCTGCGGAGAGGGAGCGGGCAAATACAATGAGCTGTGTGTGGTCGGAGCTTTCAAGAAATAGAAAGGAAATGGCTATGGGGCAGGGCTAATGGGTTGAGGTAAAATATGTGGAGAGCAAATCATGGCAGTTTCAGTACAACATCGAAAACCATATAATAGTCAGTTTCATCCAATAACACCTTGTGATGCCACCATATCTTGTCCAAGAATAGAATGTACAAATGAGAACAGGCCAGTCTTCTTCTGAAAGGGCTATAGCACATCTAAACTTTTTTCAAAAATAGTTGCAATGTGGCTTGTGTATTCATCTCATGCATCAAGAAACAATAGATAACCTTAGCCATCCATATGTCCCGTCTCTATATATCTATCTCAGTAGCTAGGACAGGTCAAGCTGCTTATTAATGACTGCTTGCTATCTCTGCTAGATCCACTAGTATGAAGTAAAATAAAATAATTCTGAGAAAGTGTATGCACACCACTTTCATAGCACATATACACAGCCATTCACAAATCTCTTCCAGCTTTGTAAGGACACATCAGAGTAAGCCATTTTAATGACCTATGTTTTACTTATAAAAATGATTGTGTCATACATTTAGATTTATTTCTGAAACAATAATCAATAACCTGAAAGGGGCTTTGAAAATCACTGTCTAATTGTGGGAAAGGAACAGGGAAAGTAAGGAAGGCCTTTAAGATTTCTTTCCCCATGTTTTTTAAATATTAAAATAAATTAAACTTAAAAAATAGTGGCTCTGCCTAGTAAAATACAGACAGAAAAATACTATAATATTATATAAAATAAAATTATATAATATAATTT